TAAGCTATTGACGAATACGTCAGAAGTAAAACGTGCGACACATCATAGACAAGCGGTAGAGGCGTTTATAGAAAGCGCTAGGTAAATGGTGAAACAGTTTCCATGAGCATTTAAAGTCAGGAGTCAGGCAAGTAATAGAGATCAAACACGTTTCTGCAAAGTCCAAGATCGGAAGACGGACAAGGCTGAACGCTAAAAAATATTCGAAAGAAAGATTAGAAAAGGATAAAAACAATCACAGGTCACTAATGTGACATATTAACGAGACGAGACATGTCAGTTGTAATGCTAAAGATAGCGTAGCAAGCTGAAGTAAGTAGACCACACACACGCACTCGCGAATGCACATACGCAAATACGCGCACTCGCAGAATAACACACGCATATACACATACACCACGCACACGAGCACACACACGCGGAAACACACGCGTATACGCACACATACACGCATACACGCACACACGCCGAAACACACGCGTACGCACAAATAAACGCAGAAACACACGCGCACGCACACACGCACGCGCACACGCCGAAACACACGCGTACGCACACATACACGCAGAAACACACGCGTACGCACAAATAAACGCACACACGCACGCGCACACGCAGAAACACATGCTCGCTTTGACCTGAGACTGATTCGACAATCCAAGCCATGGAAAAAGTATAGGCAACGCATTGACCTGACACAATATCACACAATATGACGAGCAACGATTCTTTTCGCAGGTATAGAGACGCAGAAGAAAGACAGATAATGTTGTTTTCAGAAGAAAAGAAAATCGAAGGAGTACACATCTATCGAAATAGAAACAACAGCACATCCGCCAGCTGAGCAGCGGCAAAGGTCGGCAGCCGATAAACGTCGATGATTCGGAAATGCTCCCCAGAGGGCGCCATAGCAGGCTGCCACTAGGGCGTGCAAACAAGAGCGCACACAAACGCATCACAAACCTTGCGGGCCGTCACGGTGTTTATGACCCTTAGAAATGTCATCTGTCAGGAGGCAAGAAATGTGCGGTGCAATTTACTTAAGTAATTAAATAATTAATATATATATATATTAATACATGTACACTGTATATCGAATCTTCAATAAACAAGTCTTATTGTTTCTGGCTCACAACAACATTGTCTAACGTTGAATAATCTTAAATTTTACATTTTCCTCTCATAACGCGTTTAGATCTGGTTGCCCTGACGTTCGTCGAACCTCTTACGAGGAGAACAGGTGACGTCATTATCAAGTATAGCGTTACTACTAAACTGGACTCCACGCTAGTTTCACGGTTGTTAACTACGTGAATGTTGCACCGACCAACGTTGACCCATCGAGTAGATTCTGCGTCATTGGCGCGGCAACCACCGCATTGAGCGAATCCACATCAAAAAAATTCAATGCAGTTGCTATGCTGCTAAACAGTAACTAACTGTAAACGCTGTTTCAAACATCCTTACGAATCCCCACCATTGAAAAACAACTCGTAATTTCCGCGCTTCATTACAACGAGCTCTCGTGAGCTCTCGTGCGCGTCTGATTCAAAAGCAAATTGAAAGCCCACTCGTAATGATGCATAAATCCGTGCCTATTCATGCATGATTTTTTTCAAAAAACGTTTTAGATTATAAGCACGGGTAGACATGCTCGACTGTATAATAATAAAAGTTTTCGCTAATGAACTAATACTTCACGATGGCCACACACTACGCTACTAGCTTACGCATGCCTAAAACGCAATTAAACGTCCGTTCGCTAACGAACCGGGATGTGCAATCCCGGCATCTTAAAACTCTACGCTATCATGCACGTATCGCCAACGATAACAATCATAATAATAATGATAAGAAGCCTGAAGTATCCTCGCTTTCGTATACATAAATAGCGTAGGAGGCGCAGTCACACGGCAAAACCAAACACATCGAGAGTGAGATAAAAATCGTTCAATAAAATCGCCGTCAAGATGGCGAACGTTGCAAGTGAGTCACCACTAACCTCCGGCTCGGAATCCGGCATCTGGACAGTGAAAGAAACAGTCTATCAGTGACGCGTTTCCATGGAAACGACGCGCGCGAACTAATCACCGCACGCCCATCGCTATTTACGTTTGCTGCGTGTCTCATTAACTAAATATTCTCAATTCTTATTATTAATTCTTATTAAAGTCATTAATCGGGAGACTAACAAAGGTGAGGAAAACGCGCTGGTCAACTGTGAGCGTGGGTCTGCCCCGTTGTGAGATGACTCACAATCACCGATGTCTGCGAAAAATAAAAGGCAGTTACGATCCAAAAGCCAGCCGCTTGGCTCGCACGAACACCGGTGACACGGGGACGAACATTGCTGCGCTTTCTTGCGCTTCACGTTTGGACGCACAAGAACGCATGTACATCACCGTGATGAAATAATCACGACTAGAAATACGAATGTAAATATAATAATCAATAAGAAAATAAACAGTAAAAACCTGCAATCCCCTGCACAGCAGCATTTCCAAACAATGCCGTGTTTACAGCATACATATGGACATCACCCTCCGTCGCCCTTTATACTAACTGTACGGAAGGATCCATCGGTCCCCGTCCGCTTCAGCCGCAAAGGAGACGACATGGCGACCTTATACCAGAGGGCGCTGCGAGCGTAGTAGCTATCTTAGCTAAGGTACTCACTCCAAATCCGGCGGCTTGGTTGGCCTTGAACGCTCTCCAGTTCTCCAAGATGATGAGGCCTGCATAGACTTTGCCCACAGTCATCTTGCCTCCACCCAGCTCTGCTCCCCCACAGAATCGTACGAACATGTTTAGACACGACACGATTCGATTAAAATAACATTTCAGACGACATGGAACATATCCAATATCCCCCGCCGTATATTCACAGGTGTAAAACAGCAAGTGGGTTTCCTACACCCCTTTCCCCCGAATGATTTAAACTAATTTAGGTCGAGTAGGCCTACATTTACTTATAGCAGCTTCGGACTATGGTAACTATGGTCTAGCCGTAGCGAGTCGTGTGCACGCACGTTTACTATCCGTATATTATAACCTATTAACGTACAACCAGTGAACCGCCAATAAAAACTGTAAATCTCTTCACTAGCCCACTAGGCCAGTAGTCCAGTAGAAGACCCAAAAATTAAATATTTTTAACGTACAACGACCACAAGGTTTGCAGGATTTCCAACAGGCATTTCCAATTGCGCCCTCTAGCGTTACCTACCTGACTGCGGTGGCACTAGCTTGTTTAGCATTTTCTTAGCTTGCATCGGCCACAGCGTCTTGATAATAATTCGTGTTTCCTCATCTGCTTGGTCCATCTCGTCGGCTGCAACAGAAACATGACAATGCATCACCTACACGCAGACGAAAAATACTAGCAAGATTCATGATTCAAGACTCGCGATTTCAGATTCGAGATTCAAACGTGTAATTTGTTAATAAGACATATGTATAATATAGTTTACATCGTTTGAAAACAAATACTAACAAAAATAAGTACAACCGGTACATAAAATATAGTCTATGACCACACCAGGTGAAATAAATTGCTCTGTTCGCTGAATGTTGTAGTATATTGTTTTCGAAATATGTGCACGTAGAAATTATAACCCGAAAATATCAAGATCTATTAGCTGGCCACCACTAACTAGTATGGCATTATACAATCACGACAGATTTCAACGTCGGAAACGAACCCTCTAGTAATAGCAACGCATGTAGTAGCTAAGCTAATGGCTAGTAAAACAGCAACAGTTGAGTTAGTGGTAGCCCAAATAGTAATAATCTTGCTGATGTAACAGTGTTATGGTAATAGTTACGTTAAACATAGAGATAGCCATATAGCAACTAAATAAAATGATTAAAATAAAAATAATAATATCTAATACAATAAACCAATAAATATAAAATATAACAACACATATAATAGGCCTGTGTACAATATAGCGGACGCAATGCTACGGTAATAGCCGTGTTATCATAATAGCCATGCTATAGCATTAGTTTTATTAGAGCAGTAGGAGCAGAGAGAGTTCCACGCCCCTCTCAAGACTGTTAAGCCATCGTGCTGCGTGTAACTCACCATCTCTGTATTTGATACAGAGAGACTCTCGGATGAGAGCAAAGAGGGTCGTCGTGAACTGTACAGTGCCGTCGTCTGCTATGGGCATGTTCATTCGTATAAGGCGCTGCCGACGAAAAATCAAACAGCAACGAATAAATATGAGCAAATATGGCCATCAACGAGAGAACGGTAGGTTACTATAGTTCAGTTAAAGCCGAGGTCAGAGGCGAGGTAGAAACTTAATCTGGCGATTAATTCATTATTTTGCGTTCATTCTCTCTCTCTCTCTCTCTCTCTCTCTCTCTCTCTCTCTTTCGCTCCCCCGCATTCTTTCTTTCTCTCTCCTTCCCCCACATTCTCTCTCTCTCTCTCCCTCCCCCACATTCGCTCTCTCGCCCTCTCTGCCCCTCTCTTTCTCTCCACTCTCTCTCTCTCTCGCTCTCTCTCTCGACCACCTCTACACTGCGGATCCACTCGACGTGACTGGGCGATCGAATCCCTCTGGTACGTTTAGATATCGAGGATATCTGCCTAGAGGCGATATGCTGAGAGCGTTACAAGAGCTATTATGAAATGTCTCTTATAGCAAACGTTTTAGTATTGGCGGCATACTTCAAATAACGTAGTATTTGCGATCGCAATAACCTTTAAATAAATTGTTCACGTTAGTAACAAGGGAGCACGCTACGAGTCGCAATGATTGTTACCTTGTATGCGAGCCGATAGGGGCACTTTCTCCCAAACCCCACAGGTGGCGCCATGTTTCGAAGCATCTCGTACATGTCTGAGTAATGCACTCGTCCGCTGGAAACAGAGACAATATTTTTACGCTAACAGTCATAGAGTGACGACACGTCACCACTAGCAAATCACTGGGGCAACGTGGGGTTGCTGGACGCGACGTGTTGTCTGTGCAACACTCGGGAAGCCACCAGCCTAGATATAATATGAGGTTCCACAATAGAATTATCAAGTGCATGAGTTTTGCTGGAATGAGAGAACATGTCACCCCTTATTTCTCCAAACTTGGTCTCCTAAAACTTAATGATATTAATAAACTAGAACTAGCCAAATTTATGTATAAGTTTACTCGCAATGAACTGCCAGACCTTTTCCGCAACTATTTTATTAGAATCTCATGTACACTCCCACTATACTAGACTTTCAACATCAATGTGCTATCATCTTCCAAGGTTTAACACCAAGGTTGCTCTTGGCAATAAATCTCTAAGGTTTGTAGGTGTCAGACTCTGGAGTGACATACCCTTACATATAAAAAACCTACCCTTTTCAAGGTTCAAGTTCGCTTATAGAAATAGTTTATTACAGCACTATGAGTAACACCTAGTGGATTTGTTTAATCGAATACGATAATTTCACATCAGCGTGTCGTACCAATTGTTTAAATTGCCTTTTTGTATTGTCTACATATCATTATTTAGACTGGAGTCAGCTGTATTTGTACAGTGACTGTGATGTGGTTATTGTGTTCTCAGTAAACTATCCCTTTCACTGATTTGTTTATTTATATTATTATATAATTCATATATTTATTATTTATTATATTTTTGTCACGTGTACACAAACCTACGTGTTTTTGTACGCAAACATTCTTGTACATATGAGTACCTTCATTATGGGTATAATTATAATGCATCTACTCTGATAATTTCTCTATGCTTACGTAGGCCTAAGCGAAAAAGTCTTTTGTTTTGTTCTGCGTAATCTTGCATCGTTCCTGCTGTTGTTTTATTGTTATTAATTTAATCAATTTATGTTGAATTGTTGATGGTTTAACTTGATGATCTTGCAAAATCCATAAATTTTACAGTATCTCCTTGTTCATTCTATATGCATTGTATATTTTGTTCATTACATATTTGTTTCCTACACTTTTTCTCCATGGATTTACGAACTACTTGCTTTACTGCTTGAATTTGCATAACGTGCTCTCCACTTGCTGCTTATGTGCAATCCTTCGTGAATTCGTCATTATCATTATGTTATTCAGCGGCTCCTTTAATTAATCTACTCTTGGGGTGGCAGACTAGATGACTTAAGTGTCTTTCGCCACTCCCGTGCTTAAACTGATTAAAATTGTACTTCTACATGTAATTATTTCTTTTATAACGATGTACTCTGTATTTATGTATGTCTTATGCACAAATAAAACAGTTTCAATCTTGAATCTTGAATCTTAAATCTTGTGATGCTCTGTGCCTGCCCTGGTTAAGCTGGTAATGCTGGCAGAATAGGATGGCAAGAACACCGGGATAAGTCATCGCCCCTTCCCTACCACCTATTTCTATTCTCCGCGCAAGACAGTGTTGACTGTTGACACACAATATCTACAATATCCAGCGTTTCCGACCATGGAAAGGAAAAATTGTACCCGCTTGATGGCTCCGATAATTTAAAACGGCCGGCCGCTCGACGGCTTTCATAATTCAAAATGGCAGCCAGTACAATGGCGCCCGTACTCACGTGGCTTGCGGATCGATCTCGCCCCAGCCGCGGATGTACTCGTCCAGGTGATGCGGTCCGAGGATCGAGGAATCTCTCGTCAGGTAGTCGAAATTATCCATGATAACGGCGACGAACAAGTTCAACATCTGCAAATCGAGCGCATAGCATATCAGTACGTATAGGCCTACGCAAGCAGAAACTCTCATTCTCATTCTCCTCCTCCTCCTCCTCCTCCTCCTCCTCCTCTTCCTACTCTGCCTCCTCCCCTCCTCCTCCTCGTCCTACTCCTCTTCCTACTCTGCCGCCTCCTTCTCGGACGACGACTTGGTGTAGTTCTACGTGATAGCACACAGCATGTATCTATCTTGGCCATCTATACAAGTGATCCTGCACAAGCTACAGGCATTGTGTTATGTAGGTGATTAACAGACGTTTGAATTTTGAATAAAGAATTTATATTTTACCTCGCTACAAATACAATGACACAAATCAATTCCGAAGAAGAACTGAACTCACAAGTGAAAAGTAACTGTGAGCATTTGAAACCATATTAATGCGTGCCATCAGTCTCAACATTGTATGCTATATATACTTGAATATATATATTGCCAACGCGAGGTTATCCATGCAGTTTATCTGCACGAGCAGCAGAGTTGTAATAGTGTATTGATAATAACAAACGAGTCTATTCGGCCTGTTAGAAGCTTTTAGCGGCAATATTGCGATGATACGTATACGCACCGCAGAGGAAAACCGCGACCACCTACCAGAAATGAGCAAAGGAAGATGAAGCTGCAGAAGTAGAAGTAGGCGAAGTCCGAGCCGCACGTACTGTCGGCGTTGCTCGACAGCGGGTCGCACACCCGCCCGCTGATGCAGGCCAGCATGATCGCCTGCCAGTTCTCGCCCGTAGCACACCTGCGGTAGGTGGGATGGAAGGGGCACAGTTACCGACATCTATCCGTGGACGGGTGAAAACGATGACAGGCGCGTTTCATTAAGGATTGCCTGATACAAACGAGAGGCCGATTTACTTTTGTTAAGGAACGATCGCTGGTTGTTGGGCACGGAAGAAACGTTACACGCGAATTGAACCAGAATCGAAAAACGAATTCCGTTTAAACAGCCTAATTTTTGTAACGCAATGCTTTCCCGATCACGACACGACACGACTAACAGCAGGAATTTAATATAGAAAACTTTTAGCTAAACTTTAGAAAATGGTTTAGTTGAACAGTGTCCGGACATCTAGTTATATTAGACTCACGTGGGTGCACGGACAGTGTTACGTTACTGGACTAGCACTAGGGAAGCGACTAAAACCCTATCCGTTTACCAGTAACAACAATCTCCCACAGCATTCCAATACAGGCTTGGCATATCAATTTTGGAGTATCCCACTGTCTCGTTATATATATGGCTCTTGTACAAACACGCAGTTTTCACTACGATGAGATAAAATTTACAGCGAGCACTGGCGGTTATCTTACTATAGCAGGAAACTTCTGCTAAACAGTTCGAGTTATGCGCTGAGATGTTTTTATCTTTAAACAGCCGCGACGATTAAACCCGAAGTGTCATATGCTATTATATGCGACATCGTATAAAAATTCCGTTGCTCTAAAAATTTAATGATTATGATATGCGATTACATTATTGCGTCCAATAATGGTTCCATATTTGAACCTGATTACTTTAACCGGAATCATAAAAACAATCGTTACAATCGAACAATTTTTACCTTACGTTTAACTATGGAATTAAGTATATATAATAATAGTATATATAGTATACATATATAATATATTTAAATATACTTAGTTCCATTGATACCATAAATACATAATCGGAAAAAGAGAAAATGCGAGCATATCAGCACATGTAGTGATAGTTTTAACAGCTGGTTGCAGCATGCATAAGTTCAGAAAAACAATAGATCGCTAGGATGCTATCGAGAGTTGAAGCCCGCGAAGGTAAAAAAAAACATTCATAGGTTGCAGTGCAGTAGCTCTCCGAGAGAGATGGAGAGAGATGGCGAGAGAGAGAGAGAGAGAGAGAGAGAGAGAGAGAGATAGCGATAGAGAGATAGAGAGAGAGAGAGGGGGGGAAGAGAGAGTGTGTGGTGTGTGTGTGTGTGTGTGTGTGTGTGTGTGTGTGTGTGTGTGTGTGGTGTGTGAAAGAGAGAGATGAGATAAGAGAGAGTGGGGAGCGTTAGAGGGGGTAAGAGTGAGAGGCGGCAAGATACGGAGATAAATTAAGAGCGAGCGAGCGGAGCTGAGGAGAGATAGGGCGATATGAGAGAGAAGAGAGAAGAGATATGCATAGTATAGAGATAGTGTGAGAAAGAAAGGTGTGTGTGATGGAGAGAAGATGGGAGGCGAGAGGGGGGGAGTAGTGAGAAGCGGGCTAAAGAGATTAGTAAATAGAGGGAGCGATCGTATGAGTAAAGAGAGTAGGTAAAGATAAGAGAAGTAAAGAGAAAGAGGAGAGAGAGTAGAGTAGAGAGAGAGAGAAAAGAAAGAAAGCGTATACAGGCGACACCTTCGACAGAACGCGATTTATTGTTGTTTACAAAAAAAGCAAAGAGAAGTGGCTGACAAAAGTAAACGTGTTTAGCAATCCGCAAGTAAAGCATATACACCGAGTGAGTCGCACTGGCGACAGCAAAAGTACAAGTTCGGTGAAGTTGAAAACGTATGCGATGCGGAGAGAGTCGTGAAAAGCGAGCAACCGGTGAAGATTGACACATTCGTCGAGAAGAAACGTAGCGTAAAACATATATCGGCACTTAGAGAGGCAGAGAGCGAAGAAGAAGCGAGAGCGGTAAGTGCTAAAAAAGCAGCAGTAGCAGCGGCTGCTGCGTAGAGTAGCTTGCACAACTTGCCTGAACAGCAACAACAGCCCGTAGATAAAGTTTCGGAAGTTATTATGTCGATTTATTGCAGTTTCCGGATCCAAATTTATATTGCCAAAAACCTGGATTAGAGTGAGGAGAGGAACAAAACACGTTAGTGCGAACGGTGACTACGAGACGAATGACGGCAGGGTGGTGCTGCGTGCGACCTCACGCGCGGATCACCCGGCCCGCCCTAGGACGTAAAGCCCACACGACTAGGATCACACCAAGAGCGTATTAAGAAGGTATTAAGAGCGTATCATTATTATACCTTCTTAATACGCGCTTGATCACACTGATCGACGAAAGCCCCAGACTGCACAGGCGAGCCAAGATTCGTTACGCACATTAGCAGCAATCGAGCTGCTTAATTAATTAATTAATTGATTTAATTAATTCACACAGCCGAGCGGGACCGGAAATGCTCGCGTGTCACCATGACGATAAACCGTAGAGAACGTAGCGAACGCCCTCTGCGCCGTGCGGGGTATTCGTCGATACCAGACTACCACATAACACCAACAGAGGGCACCACGGACACATCACAAATGCTAGGCACTCTGCCAGCCGCAGGGCGCCACCTTCCCGAGTCTTTCCGCTTCGGGATTTCTTTCGAACTTGGTCGCGGTTCGACAAAAAAACCGATAGGAACGATTCAGGAAGGTTGGTGCACGTGGCCGCCCGCGGGCAGAGCCAATGGCAGTTTCTTCCCGCGCGATAACTCACCTAAACAATACCAACAGACCCGAAATGAAGTCTTGAAAATGGTTGTGTCGATTGATAGCCGAATCGGGATTTAGTTGAATATTGCCAAATACCTTTAGTAACGATAAAACGTGGAAAAAACAGACATGATCTGTGATGCAGGTGTTAACTCGGGCCGCCATACACGGATGCTCCCCCGAACGAGGTCGATAGATAAACACATAGGCCTAGATATCAAACAGGTGAATGTGCTGATTTATAGGCCCTGCCCACAAATTTGTAAGCCTGACGGGAGACGTCTTATTCGACTCTCGAAATACATGCGCTATGTGAACCATTTAGCCGGTTAATAATTCAATTGAACCCGTTAGGAACAATTATTTTAGGCAAGCCTCTTCTATTAAGAAACTGATATGCTACTTTGGTAGGCGTGAAATCATTTCGACGTGTAACGCATATGCGCCGACCTTTAGTCAACAGACTTTAGTCAGAACTAAATGTGATCCGGCAGAAGACGCGCGTCGCGTTCGGCGGCATGTGGCATTCGAAAACTTCTCGCGAATAAGAAAAAAACATCTACCATACTCGGCAGAGATAGGAGCAAAAAAAGACCCGTGCCGTGAAAATAAGCAAGAAATTAAAAAGCGAAAAGGCCGCAAATTCCTCATTAGATAATTCGCTTGCTGCGTCGACGTCTCCCGTGGGGAGCTTTTGCAAGGAATCGTCTGCGTGTTTTTTCTTTCGTGAACTCGAGGGAATCCGCGCTGACATCGGCCGATGTGAGCAAGAGTAATTAATGGATGATAGCACGTTCCGGTTAGGCCCACAGGAACGCTGCGCACATAAACGTTATCAGGAGTAAATAATAATAGAAAATAATCTATTATTATTCACTCCTGACGTTATCTATACGATCGTGCACACGATACTATATAGATATGTTTACGGTGCAAACGCGCAAGGAGTTAGTTGCACACAGTGTAGAGCGATGTAGCGACAATGCGACAGTTATATCTGCAGGCGCAAACCGACGCGAATTTCATGCCGAGTCACGGTTAGGAATTATATAAAAGTATTAAACTAAATTGGGAATTATAGGTTAATCTTCAAAAATATACCTACAATACGTACACATATCTATGAGATAGTGTATAGATATGTTAATAGATATATTAGTAGCGTAGGAGTAACTTAGAGGGGCCAGCATTCTGACCTATTAGTCAAAGCACAGTGAAGGAGATATTTCCTCCGTTCCATTAGCTCAGTTAGGCATATCGAAAAACGAAAACTAGCAAACATTAACTTAATTAGTTTTACGTGATGATTAACAGAGTACCTTACAATCACTATTTCTATGCAAATTCTTACCGACATTGCAGTTTCATACGATCGCAGTAGTGTAGACAATATCACCGTAGTTAAATTAATATTAGCGTTTGGCGATAGTCGATTAGAGTCATTTATGCAAGATGACGAAGGTGTGACGAGCAAATGAGAGAATTAATCAGCACGAAATAGGTGAATGCGTCGATTTCATTACCTGCATTCCAATAATTGCATATATGAAGAATAGCATAACGATTAGGAGGCAGACATATGGCAGAGCCTGAAATAAAAGAAAAAAACAGCATTTGAGATATTAGCTATATAGTATCATCGCTGTTACCGACAACGCTGTCACCTCCTCAAAGACTTACTCGCGTTTCTATCAATCTCCTTAATCAGTCTCTTTTGGGTTCACCGTTAGTTTATGCTTCGATTTACCAAACATACTAGTGGTTTTTGATCATTCCAACGATCTGCCTCGTCTCCTACCCCGACAAGATATCACTATCTTCCCGAATAGATAAAAAGTGATACTAATTATCAAAGACATCGGCAACGAATGTTTGATGATCACACGTTTTTTATGCTCAGTTAATTACTACTAGTAATAGATAGCAATCTAATTAATAAAAAATAACAAAAAAATCGATCTAGACCGCATAATTAAATTGCTGTTGAGCGACACTAGCGCCACACGGCGGCTCCCGGCCGCGTGCAGTGCGAAGATCGAGGAGCAACTGTACTTTGAAAGACTGTATGAAGGTCCAGAGGAGGATGCGTATCGTGTAGCCCTGCCGCAGTAGCTTGATGAGGCGCGCCGCCCGGAACAGCCGCAGAAAGCCGATGTTGATGATGTTGTTCTGAAACAAGCAGCCACGGTCCGACGGACGACCGACATGAGAACATTATTGCAGATGTCAGCAACATGGCGGCGGAGGCGGGGCGGAGACGTGGCGAGAGGCGTGTCCACATGTCCGCGAGGGCGGGGCGATAGGGGGCGCCGGCATCAAGTAATCTTGCCCAGACAGATGTGTTTAACTCGTTGGCGCGCGAGATCGCGAGTGTATGCAGACGTCGACTAAAAATACAGACTATTAATAATTTCGTTTATTCGCTTCTTTAATCTATACGATCGCCGTAGATGCACGTATAAGCCTCGTCAGCAGAAGGCAGGCAATTCAAAGAAGCCAATCTACTGTCTCTATACGTTCTGCAAGCAAAGTGATACTGCTATGCGCTCACGCTCGCGCTCCTTATGGGATAATTAAGCATGCGCGCTGATTTCGTTTTCGCTACAAATTGGTTTAATTCGAACGAGCACCGTAACGCTTCCACTCCGGCGCGAGATTGCCTCAATCGATGGAGTTAACATTATCGGACACAGGCGCACGCGTGGTAGCTGCCTTAACTCGCACGTATCCACTATGTAAATGCACGCGTAACGCCTACATTTTCATGGTTTTTAGACCGACGCTGTTATCCGTTGCCGCTGCAGACACGGGAGTCAAATTCTGTGGGTTTGTACAGAAGTACGCATCGAACGGAAAACTCAAGTAGACACCACACGCAGCGGCCTTATACGGCACATGTTCCGTTTCTTAATCATTATAACGGCAATAATGTACATCGAGCAACGGTAACGGCGCGAGGTACACGTAAAGTAAAGTACGTCAAGGTAGAATTTTAACTTTTTCGTTTTTGTTCCGTAGACAGCGTTCTATTCGGTACATTGATGAATTCGTGTGAAGATAGACGGATGGTTAGACGACGACGAAGACGACGACGATGCCGCCGACGACGATAGATGACGTGTGTGGTCCTTCTCGCACGAGTGAGTGTGTGTGAATGTGCGTGTGCGTGAGGGTGTATGTGAAGGTGTGTGTGCGCTTGTGTGTGTGTGTGTGTGTGTGTGTGTGTGTGTGTGTGTGTGCGTGCATGTGTGTGTTTGAAATTACGTGTGTGTGTGTGTTTGTAATTGCGTGTGTGTGTGCTGGGCATGCCCAAATCCGCCAAGATGCAAGAAATACGTGACCCGTGTGTGAGTGAGTGCGGATCAGGCAGCATCCCCGGTTGCAGAATTTCACCGGGGCTCTACCGCCGTGCAGAGTGAGACAATCATAATAATTAACGTGTGCCGTGAAAGAAATCATCGATAACCTCGGGCGCATGTGTGTCTGCGCGGACCTCCGCACGCCTGTTACAGTGAGAGTTTCACACTTCCAGACCTCTTTGGCATTCGCATGAAGACACACGGCCGAATCGAGCACGGGTGCATCCCCGCTCAGACTTTTCTTTCTGCCCCCCCTCCCCCCGTTCCGCTCGCAATGGACAAGCTGGGTTAAAAACCATGAAAATACCTGGGTCGATGGAGGTATCCTCGTCACCTTCACACACACGCACGCACACACGCACGCACGCACACGCACGCACACGCACGCACACACGCCAGCCCGCACTCACTCTTTCGCTTTCTCGCTCTCTCGCTTCATTTCCTTTTCAACCACTCTTGCTTTCACACACCCTAGGTGGCGGTACCGCAACTGATTTTGCAAAATTCCGCTGTTGCTCGCAGCTTTCAAACCGAACCGGACGGTCCGGTTCGATTTGAAAAAAACGTCTGTTGGCACGTTCTCACCACGCGATCGACGGTGCTGGACAGACCACATACATATATACATGGGCGAAGAATTTAATGACGTCACACATGGAACGTTGCCAGCAGCGACGATAGAACGCGAGAAGCAGACTCAGAACAAAATCGTTCGGTCGTTTTCGTATAAACAAATACTGTTGGGCAAGATTTAATCCATGAAACTCTATTTATAGCTCGATTTCACAGCAATCGCACCGTATGGGACCTCGCAGCTATGTGACTTGCAGAAACCTCGTCGGGCACATGCGTGATATTTGACAACTCGCACGAGAAAGAGCACAGATTAGCGTGTTGCTATATCTACATGCTGCGGGCCGAGCGCACTTCTCCACTGGCAGTTTCTGGCGCGGCTGCGACAATATCACGAATGTTTCTGCTAGTCACATATGCCCACGCGTCGGTCGATCGTACGAGTGAATTCGAACAGCTGCAATGGCGGGCCCTACAAGAACAACTAGTCCGCGAACGCTGATGTCTTAAATGCGGTAAACCTTATCCCTCAGAATAACGATCGTTCCGAGAGATCGGCGTTCAACAGACCAGCGGAACCTAGCGGGATCGGTATGGACTAGATGAGCTACGCTTCATCAACCGAGCCATACCGGAAGCGACCCGCCCCCGAATTGCAGATGTTTTTGTCCGTTGCTGTGAAACGAGCATGTTTTTTTTTTGCTTTTTGGCGGGAACAAGCCAGAAAGGTCTCACCTGTGCGGCTTTGCCCAAATCTCCACCTGCCAAGAGCCTCTATAGAGCCATCATGAGAAACAAGAGAAAGTAGCAACATATGAGTCACACACACAACAACACGCAGAGATATCACACTCACTCCTCCCACGCCGTCGCCGTACGAGCGCATAGGCCGGGGACACACAACGACAGCAGCACGAAATAAACGACCATGCTACTCGATCACACCGCCACGCGGAAATCGTGTCGTCAGGCGCCACTGTGAAAATCAGACAATTCAACAATCCCCAAGTCGTTCCCGCGCGGCCCGATAGATGGCACTGTCCGTTGCGAACTGCGGTCATCTGGCGATTGTTGGATTCGGTGATTTTAAACGTGGAGGCCTATGCATGCAGAGAGAATGCAATAAAACACAGGTCCTGCGCACATGTTGCAAATAGACGCTTTTCCATGACATGCAGGTCTATATGCTTGTATGTGCGCGCATGTGTGTGCGCGTATGTGTCAACGCGTGTGTGCGTGCGCGCGCGTGTGGGCGAGCGCGTGTGTGTTTTAGCATTGAAGTAGTATGTAGTCATAGAATCCACATTACGCTTGTCATTCTGTCACTGGTGCTTGTATGTGTTTAAAGTGAGTCATGCCGTGCCATTCGTGTCTCGTTTCGTGATGTGGATAATAAAATTTCTGGTGTCATAAAGGTTCAAAATTTACCATAGACGTTGCAAGTAAAGTGTCCTATAAAAGAAAAGGAGTATATATAGTATACGAAGAAGTCACTTCTAGAGACAGAAAGCGGTAGATAATCAGATAGATAAAAATGGGGAGAGAGAGAGAGAGAGAGAGAGAGAGCGCGCGCGAAAGAGAGAGCAAGAGAGAGCAAGAGAGATAGGGGGTAAGCGAATGAGAGAGGAAGGATAAGAAAGAGCGAAAGAAAGCGAAAATGATTTCAGAATAAATGGACGCGAAGCGTTTCGCTTCGGTCATGTTTCCATGACCAGAAATCCATGAAAACGTTTCTACAGGTGTCTACAACTATTAAATATTGTCCATACATATATGTACATACACACAATGCAAGAGTCACAGTCATCGCAGCATTTACAGCATAAGAATATGGCACAGTACACTCACGATCTGGACACAGATCATAATCACACTAAACAACAGGACTACACAATAAATAGAGAGAGAAAGAGAGGGAGAGAGAGAGAGAGAAAGAGAAGAAAAAGAGATTTAAAAAAAAAAGAGAGAGAGAGAGAGAGAGAGAGAGAGAGAAAGGGGGGGAGATGAACTCATGCATTGCTGAGCTACAGAGGACCAGAACAAAAATGCCGTAGTCGGTCGCGTGGAAGCCACTTCGGCTGCGCGCGGTGACATCACCGCGATGTAGCACGTGACTTCCAGACGCGTCTGCACGCACAGGAAGAAATTAAACACAAGCGTATAGCAAAGACGCCCGATCGGGGAACGAGAGTCGGTCAGGCCTCTGGCAGGTGAGACGAAAACGGCCAGTCCGAGAACGTAACTAAGTCAGGCGCAGCGACAGCAGCAAGCGCAGCAGAGAAAGTTCAGTGCGATTTCGGAAATAGTCGGCAGCGTGGTTGATATAGAGGGCGTGCAAGTGCATCTACGTCCCACGTGACAACCTTCGATCACCCTGCCGACGCATTCCGGAAAATCAGCTCCGAGCATTAAGCGAACAAGCCAAAGAGATCGCAAGCAGATCTAGACTACAACTTATCTACAGCGCTATAAGGCTATTCCTACGAAAAATAAGTGTGCAAAGGTGTCGTAACCATAGCCTAGAAAATAAGCAGTTTGATTTGAACATTTTACCGATTAAATCTCCCTTTTCACTGGATCGCATTGACTCGTTTCGCATTGATTTTAATACGAAGAATAATGTATAATAAAAACGCGTTGAATTCATTATTTTTCACCCTCGTCAGCGTAAATAGATAAATAGACAGTAGTAATAGATGCAACACGCATACAATACGTGTACCAAGCTGAGATTTTGGTGGAATTTAGCCGTGGATATATAATCGAATGATAAGTCAGCGAGCACTTTAAAAAGCGAGCAAGGATATATAAAATGCGGGAATACGCGTGTAGAAAAAAACCTCGGAAATAAATTATGCCGTTCCGCATATTCCAATTTCGACCGCCAGGTGTCGCCAGATGCAGCAGCAAATGGTTGCCTTCATTCGGCTGCCAGAAAAAACCGGCAGCGGTATCTCATGTTGCTGAGTCTTTACCGATATGCAACAACGTGAACACCCGTGGTACCGCGACAGAATGCAAATAAATCGTGTCGGTGACGGGAAAAATCCGAAAGTGTGGGATGCGGTAGGTGAGGGTGGGAAAAGACGGAAGAGGAAGCGGGAAGCAATACGCGCGGGTGGGGGTTACTATAGTGTTGAAAGCGGATAGTAGACAACAATAACACCTGACATATAGCGGAGATTTTTCTCTCGACGGAACTTTGTACCGATGCTTCCAGCACTAAAATTAGAGGTATATTAACCACGAAGAATAGTTGTAATTGCACGCGACATCAGCTAGACGGTCGGCGCTTAGTCGGCTGATATGCCCTGAGGGATAGTAGGGTGCATACCTTTACTTCAGACAGCAGGACGTCCGCGATGCTGCCTACGACTGTGATGAAGTCGAACGTGTTCCAAGTGTCCTTGAAGTAATTCTAAAAGGGTACGGAAATCATGAGAACACACCATGGTACGAGAGAAGAACACAAATGTAGATAGTCAGAGAAAGAGAGAGAGAGAAAGAGAGAGAGAGAGCGAGAAGAGCGGAGAGAGAGCGAGCGGCGAGAGAGGGAGAGACGAGAGGAGAGAGAGTAGAGAGAGAAGAGAGAGAGAGAGAGAGAAGAGAGAGACGAGAGAGGGGAAGATGAGGAGAGAGGGAGAAGATCAAAATTCGGAAAAAGATAAAAGTCGAAGAAGAGTATAAATGCTAACACGAATACTATTAACAATCCCATCAATTTTAGAAGCGATTCACCAATACGAATAGACATAGAGACGTGCAGAAATATTGCATAGACATTTAGCCACACCATTAAGAGGCTCGCAACAGTTAAGTAACGAATCTACGTCATTAAGACATCGGCGTTTGGCCATAATCCGAATGATACCGCGAACAGCAGCTACCTATGAAGGCAGGCGCTGTGAACGCGGCGAGGGGGTGGCCGACGGGGCGGAGCGATAACAATGTTATATTTTCGCAGACACGAGGGGACGGCCGCACCGCGATACGGCGTAGCTTGAACCCGGGCGAGGCTAGAAAATTGTGCTCTTTTCCACCTCACCCCCGCGGCACATCGCTGCTCCATGCCGCACGGCGACGATACTCATTCCGTATCCGTGCATTGTAATATTGCAGTGGTAGCGATGTCGGCCAGCACTGGCTGTTCAATCGCAACAAGTTCGCTTTTGATAGTAAAAAAGCGTTCTCGGTTACCGGCGCTCGTTACGCCATCTTTTTAATAAGCATGTTCTCTTGTTACGACGATGAAACGCCGAGCGGTGACCGGGGCGTGCTGCTTGCGTGCGATTAATATGCTATTATAATCCAATAGTAGCGCTACGCGTACGAGAAAGGGCAAGCATAACACACACGCGCGGCACGAAACGGCACTCGCACATCTCGTACGCACGCACGCACGGCGCTCACAGAACAAAAAAAAGAATTAACGTTGGCAGAGAACGGACTATACGATAGTATTACAACGAGCACAACTGCGTTAAAGCGGCGAGCGAGGTTCGAGGAACGTCTGTCGAGCAGAAATGCGGTAGGAAAGGAAGAGGAGCATTGGAAAAGAAAGAAAAATTGGGGGCTGGGGGGGGGGTCGTTGCCGCAATTGACGTAGAAATGTACAGTCGCTGCCACGGTCACACAGGGTGGGTTATTGGGAGACGGTCAGTGAAGGGGCGGGGAGAGTCGAAGACATAGGCGGCGCCTTTATTGCAACGTGTATACGTTGAGTGGACATCGGAAAAGACTCGCATCCTGCTTTGCTAGATGACAAGCGATCAATCAGGTATATAATGAGGAATATTAGTTTGTGTCCTACTAGTGGTTTGCTGTAAACCACCAGGCAGCTGAAAGGAGAAACGATAGTACTTCGTCGAAAAAAATCGAGGTTGAATGACAGCGGAAATATAAATGTTATGAGCACAATTATTAAACAAGCATGCAGGTAAACTCGTAAAAATATTGTAAATGCCAAACCTCGAAATAAGTCGGGTTGTATTGCAAAATGGAAACAGAATAGGCGGAATCTATTGAACGATTCGCGTATGAATGAATGAATCGATGTATGCAAACATAACTTACAGCGCCACACACCACATCCTGGAACTGCATCGACGTTTAATCATCCGAGTGTCTCGTTATCATGAACTTATTCAAACTTCAACTCTACGACACATAGTGTATAGTAAGTGAGATAGAGAAACTGTGACATAAGGAGTGCTCGGGATCTTTACTCAATGCAGGCGTGTGGAAATAATCGTGTTCTCGTGAATACGTGCTTGGCGAGTAGGCCACCGGAGAATGAAGCAGTGAAAGCGACTTCCGTAAAATGTCAGTGCTCGAATTATGCATTGATATAGTAGTATACATAAATGTATCAAGTGATAGAAAGTAACGCGCATAAGTACTTTTATTATATATATTTATATATATATATATATCACCGCATTTTTGCTTTATTTGTTGCCAAGACGAAATTTCTTCAACGTTCTAAAATCATATTTCGAACGCCTTAACCTTAACCAGCATCAGCGTACGTTTTAGCGGCAGTGCCCGAAAGTTTACGGCGTCTAGTTGCGATACGGACGCCTAGCAACGCGTCTGCACGCGGAATGTTAAAGGTGAACGCACTGGTTCCAGGAGTGACGTAGTATTTTGTGTGAGAAGAGGCGCACTAGCGCCCCGCATCCCTTACCATGACGACAAAATGTTTGTCTCTGACTGACGCTTGCATCCGAACGCCGCCAGCTTCAGGGCACACTCGATTGGTGAACAACAGTGGTGAAGGCCATATTCATATAGGTTTAGCATTTGAAGGTATGTAAGGTCGGGATCGTTGTGCTGCAGTGGTGGCCAAAGCACACAAGCAGCCCGGGGCGGGAAGAAAAAAAAAAGAAAGAAGCAACGTTAATCGAAACGGCGCTCACGCAGGGCCGCGTAAAAATGGCGCGACGCGTTGGTCAGTGCTCTCAGTCCAGAAGCATTCGTGCACCAGTCACTGAGTCGCTGAGCATAGAGAACAATGACCAACGCTGGGCTCGCTAGGCGCAACTGCACGGCAAGACGTTGGACAGCATTGACCCAGCTTGTCGCTAGCGCGAAGGCGACGGTGTGTGGTCCCTCTGTTGAATATTTTATCCAAAAAAACTGGCGCTGATCGTCTAAATTTTGTTAGTACGAAAGTGTTTTTGCTTGACGGTTTGCACGCAGCTACTAGAATTCTTTGTGAGGCAAAAGTTGCACGCAGATAAGCATACATTTGCTGCGCGAAGAATGCGCGCGCAGGCACTAGAAGAGGGCACACAGAGGGGGCACCTCCGCTCTCAGACGACGCTGTCGCGTTAGCGAATGGACAGCTAGCGTACATAGCAGTCCGACAAGGCTGTAGTCTATACCTGGGCAGCGTACTCTTCGTGCACTCACGGGCCCTTACCTGATGATCTCGAAAGCTATCATGTTGAGAATACACTCGACGTAACAGGACAGTGTGAAGTCATGTTCAAATAGCAGCGAGCACTTCACCGTACTACGATCGCTGGTTGGTTTGCGGAACTGTGGGGGAAACGCGAAAAAAGGAAAGCGATGGTTGCGGTTTAACATAGCCTGTCCCGGAGGGAGCAGGTAGGCATTGATATGTCTGCACCAACACTCGTTTCAGTAAAGGCACGCACAGCACACCGCCGCCAGCACGCACCGCACGGCAACGGACAGGCACGCAGACGGCACGCAGCGCACGCACACACGACACCGGGACTACACACACACACACACACACACACACAAGCACGCACGCAAATGCACACGCCAATGCACATATACACGCACAAGCACATACATAAATACACACACACGCGCACACGCATGCACACACGCGGCACACTTATTTACCGTGACGCCCACGCACACAACTCCACCTCTAATATCAATGCAGTGCCTCTCCGAGACTACTATTCAATTACGATTTGCCTAGAAGATCTTTCCACGCCAGTCCTTCACGGAATACATTGCGACTGGAGAAATATCACCAGTCGCAGAATCGTGCTTGCTTTGAACTTTATCATGACTCGAACCATTCGGCATTGTGAACAAAGGCAGTTATGTGAAATAGCAGCGTTGTAAAGTGCTCTTCTCAGATGTGATATGCTGTGACGTAACACTTATTCGACTTTTTGAAATTTAAAAGTGGGAAGAAAAATACTCACCGCTGTGAAAAATTAACAGGTTATATAGTGTGCGGACAATTACAGTGCAAACACCGCGTGTAAATGCGAAAACATCACAGAGTACGAGTGCATCTGCGTGAACAACCCGTTCTTTTGTAAATAACAAACAAGCTTTACAAATCCGAACTATACTGCTTTGCATTTAATTGACAACGCGACGGCTTTTTTACAAGCACATTTGCAACAGCGCTAAAGGAACAAGTAACTTTGACCCTCATTAACGTTTAGCTCTCGCTAGAGACGCACGTTTCCAGCATTCGGTTATGAGTTATCTAACACCGCATTCGTATTTCTCTATCCATCTCGCTAGCGCTTCGATTCTCCTTTCCACGCCTACCTTCATCATAAGAATGATTGTGTTGAGTGAGATGAGAACCATGATGAACCACTCGAAGACCGACGAGACGACCAGCTTCCAGATGCGGTAGCGGATCGAGCTCTTGTCCTGCGGCATGTAGCGCGCCAGCGGCTTCGCGTTGATGGCGAAGTCTATACACTGCTTCTGCAAGTCGGCAAGTGGAGCGGCGTGTTGTTGTTGTTGTTGTTGTTATTGTGTGTGTGTGTGTGTGTGTGTGTGTGTGTGTGTGTGTGTGTGTGCGTGTGCGCGCGCACGATGCACCCGCTCGGGTCCATCAATCTTTATACGGAGACGTTGAGCCATGCACGGGCTCTGCTTCATAGTGTCGTTACAGCTAGGGTTGGGTGTACGGGTATGGATGCACGTAACAACTTCATGTTTGTCTCTCAGTGCAAGATAGATGTAGTTAGTCTGCTAAGATGGTGTGAACGTATATAGCTTCGGGTTTCTGGCAAGGATGTATTTAATAACTCCCAGTTTGTCTCACGGTGCAAGGTTAGATGTAGGTCTGCTAAGGTGCCACGAGACGAGAGTATCTAGCTTCAGTAAGGCAGTGAAAGAGGACCAACACCTAGCTTCGCTTTGGGGTCTAACATAAGTCATGGTTAAGAATGAGAATAGGGGTAAGTTTAGTATTAGTGCTACTATTATGCGGAGTTACACGTCCCCCTACCGCAATCGCACCTCTACCCGTAGGTCTAACCCATACACCTAACCACACGGTGAACAAGGGTTATCCCTTTCTCCCTCATCGCCTCGTTTCCATTCTGTAAACTCGTCCTTTCCCCGACTCACTTGGTTCTTATCCAGCTCTCCTCCCATCAACTCCTTTTCTCCCTGCTCCTGGAAGGTGATGATAATCAAGGCAACGAAGATGTTTACAAAGAAGAAGGGAAATACGATGAAGAAGACGATATAGAAGAAGGCCATCTCCATCCGATAGCCCGGCTGCGGACCCTTGTCCACCTGCGTGGCATCCATGGAGTTCTGCAGCACTCTGCGAGAGGGAGGCAAAGGTTACATCAAGCGGGTGCCCAGTCTTCACCTTATGGTCATTAGATATAACTGTAGGATTAAAGAATGCACTATTACATTATTATAGATTATTAATTAATGATTAGCTTTTAGTAATAGGCCTACAGTGTTATTTTATACTATACACATGTAGCCAACTTCAGCAGCAAAAATCACAGATATTTATGTACGATGTGTGACGTAATCAGTGGCACCCCCTATAGCTATAACGGTGAACATCGGTGCCCCAACAGCTGTACACATGAACACCAGTGACCCCCAATAGCAGTGTACATAGATACTGGCGCCATTTATGTAGATGTAGACGTACTTTGGCCAGCCTTCGCCCGTCTGCACCGTGAACAGTGTGAGCATGGCTTCGGCAACATTGTCGTAGTGAAAGTCCTGCCTCTTCCACTCGCGCTTGGCCGTCTTTGGCGGTTTCTTTTCGTCGACGAACTCAAAGTACTCTCCCCTAGCACATAGACAAAGAATGTAAATGGCTGATAAATGTGTGTGTGTGTGTGTGTGTGTGTGTGTGTGTGTGTGTGTGTGTGTGTGTGTGTGTGTTGTGTCTGCGTCTTTGCGTGTGCTCTGTGCGTGGCGTGCGTGCGTGTGCGTGTGGCGTGTTTGCTGTGCTGTCAGTGTGCGTTGCGTGCCATGACGTTGTCCGTTTGCGTTACGTGGCGCGGCATAAGCGTGTGGTGTGTGTGTGTGTGTGCGCGCGCGCGCGTGTGTGTGTGTGTGCGTTTGTTCGTTCGTTTGTCTGTGCGTCATTGCAGGTCCGAGAGAAAAAGCCTAGCTGTTCTCGAGTGGTGTGCCAAGGCAGTAGCAGCTCTGTCCGTGTGGCCTTTCATTCTGCAACAGGGCCCTGTTGTCCATACATCTAACTATTCTTGTCCCCTATGGGTTCAGTTCCCTATCGATTTGTCGATGTACTGTTGTGGGATCTTATCTACGGTTGTGGTTGAGTCTGAAACTTACTGGCATTCCTCTTCGATGTTCTTGCTGAGGTCGGTGCAATACCAGAACTTTCCGCTGAACAGCTGCACGGCAATGACGGCGAAGATAAACTGGAACAGCAGGTAGACGATGAGGATGTTCAGCACGTTCTTCAGCGAGTTGATCACACAGTCGAACACAGACTGAAAGCAGAAGAGCGGAGCGAAATCAGAGTAGTTCCTTCGGGAAACGCCTACAACGTTCCGGTAGCGTTGGTATACGGTCGGGAAGTGTAGCAGTTCGTAGCGGTGAAATGTCGGCAACGTTCACGGAACGTCACGAACGATCCCAGATAGAACAGTGAAAGGGTTTGTTAAATATTTAGGAAAACTGTCCACAAGTCGGGATTTCGACGTCTGTGAACAATGTCTGCAGTACGGTTTGTCAGACCTGTTGATTCTCAAAGAAATAACTATTTTTGTGTGAAATAACAAACGTAAACGCGTGTAATATCGTAACTCGCACAGATGGCTTGCAGAGGAGTCGTGTGAGCTGGTCGATGAGCAGCATACCTTTAGTTTTGGCACCCTCTTGATAGTTTTAAGTGGTCGTAACACCCTCAGTACTCTCAGCGACTTGATGGTGTTGAGATTTCTACCTGCACTACCTGTTTGAGATTGCCTGTGAACGGTCGAAAACAGACGTACATCACACGGTATAACGCACATGCACGTACACACGCACGCAGATATACACGTATACGTACGCACGCGCGCACACAGACACGCGCACGAACGCACCTAGACACGCACCACGCACGCCAACACGCACGCACGCCAACACGCACGCACGCACTCACGCACGCACACTCATCGTTGCATATATTACGCACCCAAAGTAGAAAGCCACTAAGGCACAGATGACGACGAGCGCGTCCAGGAGATTCCAGGGGTCTCTGCAGTAGGAGCCCGGATGTAGGATCACTCCCAGGTCGATGATCTAGAGCAAAAAGCCAACGTTCTCACCTCAGCAATATCTACTCGCACTCGCCCATGCATAATCCACAACCGGCCCCATATGTAGCTGCAGTGCAGGACAGACAAATCACAATGCAGACTTGCGAGCGTTCAGTGGCTGAAAGGTTACCCGTCGAATAGCGCAGCATGCCCTTTTAAAGGACTGCAAAAAATGTCGAAAATCAAGATTAAATATCTCGCGTCTATTTTTTTCAGAGAAGTCTAATTTAACCAATTCACTTATCCAGGTTTCATTCAATTAAATGTTATTCGTTTAAGTAAAATAATGATGATTCTTTTCTATCGGCTCTTTCCTTTCTACCCTCCCTTTATTGTTCTCTCATCCCTCTCTCTCTCACTTTCGTTCTCTC